TTACTGTTAAGTTTGTATTTGATCACTGACCATGAGCACAAGGTAAAACACGTAATTTTTCTCCTTCTATGTAATCGTCTAAACAAATTGCACATGTCTCGTACGGGTCACCTTTCGTATATTTGTGCGTAGGAATTTTTTTCAGGCTCGAATTGGGCAACCTATGCCTCCTCTGCCGTCTCCTATCCTTGATGCATCTAACAACCTGTGATTGAAAGGTAAGCATTTTGGATATGCTTCTGAAAACGTAATCAACTCACTAATGGTTTGATATTTTTCTTGTACGATCTCACCATAAAGATAACCATGACTAGAAAACATATCCCAACAACAATAGCAAAAGGCAGAAGTAGATGTGTAATATTAAAAGGTGTATCGTCGTTAATGAGTACAAAATACAAATCGTCGTATAAATAATTTTCTTTAATAATTAGTCCTGTAATCTCACTGACAAATACAGATGGTATCAAAATCCCTATAGGATCCTTTGCTGACATCGGATCTAAAACAGAATATAAAGTATTAGAATAATTGGAAATGTATTAATATTATTATAGTTAGAAATATATATTCATTACTCTCATGGTACATTTAATGAACATATTTACCTAATTCGTTACTGTTCACGTTGTGTATAATTGCAGCATCATATCCAGCTTTTTGTGCCATTCGAACTTTTATTTCAAAACTACAATTATAGCGAGCAATTAAAGCTATCCAATTACCATTGTAATTGGTAGTATTTGGAGGACCCTGTATTTCATGGCATGCTGTAGGTGGATCTGCGTACACTACCATACCCTAACGAAATTTAACATAACCTTTGATGCAAACTTTCCTTAAATACACTGTACAATTTAGTCGACAGTTGATCAAGCTTATATAAAATACTACACAAAATAAATGTAAAATGTTGTAAAGTTCAAATTGTTTCCTACTTTGTTTAAATATGATATTATTTGTATCATCAGTTGTACCAAAATAACCTTGAATGGACTGATTATAATTAATTATAATTATAATGATCTTAAATCAAATAATATAAGCGATATATACCTTAATCCCTTCAGATGGTATTAAACCACCAAATCTAGCAGGCATGTCTCTAAATTCTTCCTCGATCTGATGCCTTGCAGCTGCAGAAAATACTAAAATATCTGCTCTGCTGCACACAATGCAAAAGATAAGAAACATAAGCCATAGCTGGATTTGGTGGTTCAAGCAACACTGTCTCATGTTTTAAAATATTGGAAATATCCACCGTCCTGTCAAGTTTAATATTCCACTAAAAGTTCCTTTGAGCAACTCATTATACATAACATTCAGATGGTAGACACAAATGTACCCATGTAACAATGTCCTGTAAAAGCAGATGATATAATTTTATCTACATTTTAGTCTACACTATAGTATCTAATCTATGTATGTACATACTTTTCCAATTAAGAATTAGTAATAACATTTTAACAATAGGTGCACGGATAGACTTCTTAATAGAAAGATAAAAAACCGTTATTGTTAAACAATTTCAATTTAGAATATTCCCTGTTTCGACCAATGTTAAGATGTAGTCTTAAAGTTCATGTTGTTCTTTGTTACACATTTGCAGATAACAGTCAGGAAATTTGTCTATGACAAAACGTTCGGTGTCCATATTCGAAAGAGTGGCAAATAATTTGTACAATTTCATTATTTCCAATGTTGCACGTTCGACTTTCTCACCGTGGCAAAAAAATTTATACGTAACCTGTACGGCAATGTTTAATTCAGCCCGAGTAAATACATGTCGAACGGAGATGCACGACGCGTGAAAAGTGGCACAGTTAAAATTTCATACTTAATGCCTATTATAAAACGTTGCGGGGACAACTACGTCATTTAATTGCTAAATAAACAATTGTAAACAAGAAGTACAGGCATCGTACCTGTCTCGGTTATTTTGAGAAGTTGCCGTGTCTCGATATACTAAGTTTGACACATCGACGAACGAACAGAACAACAATAATGAATCTTTTAATGTGAATCAATCAGGTTGAATAAAAGTGACGTGCATACACAAGTAAACGTGCACCACGCGCGCACGCATGCACGCACGAACACTCACTCTTTCACACATCTACAATCACATACACGCACGCACAGACCACACACACAAGAGGTATGAGTAACGAGAAAAATTGTCACGGTTCTAACCCTGAAAATCTACTGTATCAACAATAAAGATTGTCGCGTATGTAAAGATAATTTGCATACGTACTGCTGTTACACTTCTCTTGTTTCTCATTCAGACGAAAACGCTGCGTATGACGCGCAAGGAACGTTCGGTTGGTTCGTAACGCCTGTGCATATGCATACACATGTACATCTAAAACGGACGTAATTTATCGGTGTATCACTAGTGTGCAACAAGATGCACACCATTCATACAGTCGCGTGTCATTTGCACCCTCCCTTTTTCCCTCCGTCTTTCTCGATTTGGAAATTATGGTAGCGATTCGGACCGTGATGGTTGCGAATCTTGCCAACAATACGTAGATTCCGTATGACAATGCGAGATCGACTGCGACGTTGATTAAACCATCGAGTACAGTTCACAAGGAAATGTCAGATTCACCACCGTCGAAGGGTGCTTCATTCATAAATACTGACACGATAATTACTCGGTTATTCGTAAATAATATGGGAATAATGTATGCGGCTCGGTAGTACTTTAAAGGAATTTTTTCGCAACCCGATCACTGAAGTCACGCGGATGTCATAGATATATGTATATCTTTTTCCTCGATTTTCTCACGGAACTACCTATCTGACAGAGCTCTGCCGGACGTGCTTGTTCACGCGGTACAAGCGCTAAATTTAAATTCAATTAAATGTCAGCTCGCGGGTACATCGATTTTCGTGTTGCAGAATTTCTACCGTCTTCGAGAATTAAATTATAGGTGAAGAATCATTAGGTTTCAATGTTCACGTTCGTTTGTAAACTGTATTTTCAAAATTTTATGGTTCTAGCTCTTTTTTAAAAGGAACAAACATGCAATGTTTTGCCAAGATTTTCATTGTTTTTCTTGCGAACAAAATGATATTTTCCATATTCGGGAAGTGAGTAAAAGATCTTATTTGATTTGTTAAACACATTGAACGTGTATAATAATTTTTTTAAAAAGTATATTTAAAGCACGTATGGTGCAATCGTAACTCTTATATTGGGCAATAAACATAGTACATTGACATAGTTTTTTTTTAGCTATCACAGATAAAATTGAGTCTGTGACACAATAACATAAGAAGAAAAGCGTATGTTGTTTTTCAGTGTCTGTACATAGAATGTACGTCTTTATGATTCCGTATTTCCACTTAAAACAGTTCCTGAATTACAATGTTTTATAATACAGTAGACAAATGTTACATGTATATACACATCGCAGATACGAAGAACAGTCATTTACAGAGGATACAGTTCAATACTACAATGTATATACATAATACAGATTTCTGGTACAATAATTATCAGAAAAATCAATAAAAAAAAGTTATGTATGTATTTCTTTATACATATTTAGGGTGATTATGTCAGATTCACTTAAAAATGTACATGATGGAAGAATTGATATTCTTGAGAGGTTAACATTTTACATGGTTAACAATCAACAATCGATGAAATAGTTGAGCAGTGAACAAATGGGACGATACAAATCTTTTAAAAAATCATAACAGAACAAAAATCAAATTCGACCCAATCTTAAACGAAGATTGATCTATATTATTTATAGTTCAAGGCACTCATTAGCGATATCGCTTACTGTGAGCCAAATTACCATTATAAGTTTCGCAAAACTCAATTATTTATTAAGTCTTATGAACTTCCTACGAAATTATTAGATCTTTCCACGAGAAAACCTATCGTCAAGACACCGTGCTTTGTTTATGATAGCACTCTTTTGCGCTTGATCGAATCTATTTACCTGCAAGTCTAAATCTCTGTCGAACGGTCTTCTAACAGTCTGTCCAGTCAACTTAACTTCCTTTTCTTCCTTCTGAAATTTATATTTTATTGCCATTGAAACACATAAAACTTGATATCCATAAAATAGACATAATACCTTCTTCTTCTTTTGAAGCTTGCTCTGGTGCATTTCCAAAAGCGATTTCTCACGCCTTTTGTTTTTCCCGGCTTCAGCTTCAAGACTCTTTTCAGGAGATTTCGAGGAGGACTTCTGACAACTGTAGAACTCTTTTTCTTCCTAAAACAGAAGCGGGTTGTTAGCATTAAGCGAAGTGTATCTACGAAAATGGTGCCAACAAAATTATGACACGCTAACTTTTTGCCTCTGTTTTTCAGCTTTCTTAGCTGGAGTGTCCGTCCAACACGATCTATCAGACATATCTGGACCTGACCTAACGCGGAACTTTCGTGGCCCCAACTGTAGGTTGCTGATCTGTGCTGGTGGCAATTCCGTCATCCATTCTTCCCGTTGATTCAAAGTATTGCTATCCTAAAATATTATCGATCATTAAATATCTTTCACTGGACCATCGTACAAATTCTAATGAAGCTTACCTCGTTCATTTGTTTACTTTTAATTTGTTGCGCTCTGTGCTCCAATTGCCTGTACACGTAACTGCTCCTCAATGCTGGATGATCGGCCGGCAAAGGACCAATCGCGTCTTCGTTCTCAGAATCTGATTGCTCTGTTTGTTCGTTGTTGGAGGGTTTAATCGCGCTTGGAGGAGCGGGACCTATAAGTTTCGCTTCTGTTCCGTTACTGTGCTTTTGTTCTAGCAGATGCGGCGGTAAAGCTGGGCCAAAAATGATCGTTGAATCTTCGTCGGAATCATTTTCGTTAATCTGATCTTCCGCGTCAGCCTCGAGTCTCTCGGTATCCTCTTGCACATAATTCTCTGGTAAACAAGGTCCTATGAAGCTCGCGTGTTTCGCTGATTTCGCAGTAGTGGCGTGATCAGTCATCAGTTGCGGCGGTAGAACCGGACCGTAAGTCGTGTCTTCTTCAGAAGACGATAGTTTCGCGGGCTCTGGAGAATCGCAATTACTAAGGTGCAAGGAAGTTGTTTCGCCAGAGCTCGACTTTTCCAGTTTACTATTCGAATCGGTCGTCATCGTCTTTTCTCTTGCGTCGAGATTGGGACTTTTGTCAAGATCGTTCGTGCAATTATCCATGATTGATTCCGTTAACATAGACGACGCGTCACCAAATGCGGAATCTGAAATGGCACCAGGATTATTATTACTGGAACCATACGACGGATCACCCTTCCTTGCATTTACCTTAGGGGAGCTGTCCGAGTGTTCGTTTTCTGTCGCTTGTTTCTTCTTTGAATTCTCATGTTCGTCGTTCGAAATTCTCTTTTTCGTTTTCGTCTTGTGATACCTTGAAAATGAACACCTATCTTTCGCATCAGAGTCGTCGGACATGTTCTCGTCCGTTTCGGACAGAACGTCGAATTCAGACAAATCTAATTCCTTGTATCCCTGACTCTCACTCGATAGATCTCTCGTCGCCGGTAATTCGTTGTCGCTGCGGTTGTGCTCCGCATTCTTGGGCGAGGAGAACTCCTGCAATTGCTGATCCGCATCCTCTTTCGTCAGTGTTCTCTTATGCGAGTTCTGCTTCTCGAATTCCCCTCGAGATTTACCACGATCAGACGATCTCTGTCTGTGTGACTGATAGCTTCTATCGCGAGAACGGTGCTTGTATTTCTGTTCGTGTGATTTGTTCCTATACTTGTCGTTCTGTGACGATCTATCATCCTCGTTTCTACTGTGTGATCGATCTTGAGACCTGTGCTTCCTATGCTCGCTCTGATCTCGACTTCTGTGCTGCTTTGTGTCTCTTGTCTTTTGCTTCGAAGACAAACCGAACGTTCTAGAGTCCACGCTAACGTCTCTTGTACTTTTATAGTCTTTCCCTTCTTTACTGCTCTCGCGTCTAGAACCTTTCAATTCATGAATATGCTTCGAATGCTTGGAAACATGTCTGAGATCCCTGTCCTCTGTTTCTCGCTCTTTGGAGGATCTGTGCTCTCTTCTACTGTCGTGCTTGGATTTGTCTTTTCTGTCTTTGTAATCTGCATCGTCGTAATCAGATTTGTGTTCGGACTTCGACCTTGTACGTTTCCCAAATTTCGGTTCTGGTCGCACGTTATCTTTTCGGGTTGCTTCGAAACGAAATCGTCGCCCATCGTCGCTGTCTTGACTCTCGGAATCAGAATCCATTGTTGTCAATATTTAATTAGTCGCTGGAAAGTAGCATAAATTTCATTTTCGACAAACATAAACTGTAGCATATACATAATGATTCGTCGGAAGAATGAACATAGCGATTGCTCATTTTAGTTAGTTAATTTTTATACTAGCCAGAATAAGTAACAAACTCGAGAACATTATAGATCGTTTTGTAAAAATATTTTAAAACAGTAGGGCATTAAACAATACCTAAAAAGAAGTAGTCACGTTTCGACTAGACTAGTTTATTTGAAATATATCTTGTGTGAACAATTGTACATATGACAGAATTAAAGTATAACTAAAAGGGATGTAATTACTACTCTATGCGCTTGTTAGTTTCCTTCAGCTATGCCCGATGCTTCACTGTTTCTAATTAATTTTAATTTGACTTTGCTTTTGGAAGCGAATTATCATTCTGTGGAGTTGATTGGAACATCTTCATTATTTTTGATCCGCTATACTTAATAGATTTCACAAGCCCAGCAGTGAAAATCCCCTTCAAACTTTGTGTAACACTGGATCTCCACACTATTTTTTTCAAGGATTCTTCTAACATTTCATCGCATTCTGGATCGTATGCAATTGCACGTAAACAATCTTCTGTATCCTTCGATCTTGGGCCCTGTGACCATGATCTAACAAGTTTAATCTGTGGTGTTCTAGGTAATTGATTCAAGTGATGTATCTTTGTAGCTGGACTTGTATCTTGGTGGCAGGTGACAGCCATTTGATCTAACTTTGGAATATCCACATAATTTTCAAAATGCTGTAAGATTGGGCTATACAACTGTCTAAACTGTCTTAGTTGTGGCAATACAATGTTATTGATTTTATCTTTGTTTTCACCAAAAATCATTCTAAAATCGCCGTTATAAGACAAAGCGGCTATAGTTTTATAGAAATCAACTTCTGTAAAGTGTTGTGGTAGCAGTAAAAGTGCTGCATGCACAGCTGAATGTAAATTTTGCACTAAAGCCGTAGGCAGCTGAGATTGTCCATTTGGCTCCACCAATACTTTAACTGGTTTGTGTAATCTTCCTGCCAAGTACAAATCATTCCAATCTAATAAATCTTCTATTAATGAAACTTCAGAAATTACTCCATATTTGATAGTATATCCTTCCATCATTTTAACCAATGTATTATAATATATTTTAGCACCCCAATTTTCTTGTACATTAGCAATTGCCCTATGCCCAAACAGCTTTAAGGGCTGAGCATAATGGTCTGGATTAAGTTCTAAATTTTCTGCATGCCACTGTTTTACATTACGAACAACAAAAATAAGATCCAACATATTGTTGGACTCATTATTCAACTGCTTAAATGCAGCAGATCCATATGCAAAGGAAAACTTTATGTTCCTTGGAAAATTTGTTAGTATCCCTTTTAGCTGGTTAATTACCATCAATTTCTCCATTATTCCAGTTCAATTTTGAAGTGTAAACAATACAAGCAAAAATCTTTTCGTAATGAAAGTTTGATACCTTTAATTCTGCATACTTCTTTACCATTAAAAATTTTATTTAATCATTAAATGATATCTCATGGTAAATCTTGTTGGATCATCAAAGCATTGCCTTTTTTTTTCGTTTATATAAATCTGGTTAGGGTACAGTTGATTTAAGTTATATCCAAACGAGTATTATGGATATTTAGGAAAGTCAGAAAAATGCAATATTCGAAGAATGTAATGAATTAGTAGCACCTCACTCAGGGTAGATATTTTCCGTCTGAATTCTCCCAACGATCGTGGCAAAAGTGGTCACAAGCTTCTGAATATTTATAATCAACTGCGCCCTTTATTAAACAAGATCCATTCCATCTAACCTAGAAATGTTTTTCGTAAAATATATAATTGCTATAAGTACTTACTTATGATTGATGGGTTATTCTATACCGGAGATTTCATTAGATACACAGCAACCGAAAAAAATAACATTTAATTTCAAGTGTAGGAAAACTAAATCAACATTAAATTGTATATCATATGTATCAACTCGCGATCGTATAATTACTTGAAGTAATCTGTTTTGTATGAAACGATAGCCAAGCTGCAAAACTTTTGTGATACTCCATTGGATAAGACCTACCAACCTTAGTTTCAAATTGGTTTCACTTATACTTCTAGAATTATTTCATTGATTCTTTCGTGCCCGTATAGCGAATAATTGTAAATTTAAGAATTTTTTCTTCAAAAATAACTCATTAATTTATACAATAAAAATTAATCGCTTATGACGAATGTTTTCTATGATTCATGCTTTCACCAAAATAAAATCCCTAGTAATGTTTGACATACGGAAAACAGATTTTATAAATGGCAGCTTCCTGTATATTTAAAAAAAAATACAGATTATTTAATAATCAAAATGTGAATGATTCCGCAATATCTACCATAAAATTATGCAAATGAATTTACATTTCATGTAATCTATATTTTATATTTTATGTATTATAGGATTAGCATATAAAACAAATTGTTTTTATCAATGTAATCATTTTATTGTGAAACTATAAAAAGAGTGTTTTATTTATGAAGCATTGTCAGAATTGGTTTCTGTGATGTCTTGCTTCCATATATATTCTGCACTGTATCCATTTTCGGATGTACATGAGTTTGTACATGTGAATATTGCTAAAATACCCCAATCAATACATTTAAGTGCATTTTCTAATTCAAGGAAATTTAATAATTGGGGCATAATCTAAAAATAATTATTCATTAGTTGTAAACACTAGTTTTTTTTTTAAAACAACTAAA